TATTAAGTGCTTTTTATATAAAATTTTGTTTAAAAATACATTACTTTTTAGTGGTAATAGTAGTCCTTCCACCACTGGAGGGTTGGTTATGAGATGAGTATATTTCTTGTCTCAACTTTGAGAGTTCCTTATAAATAGAAAACAATACAATCATTTGAAAAAAAGTAGAAACATGAGGTAAGAATTATGCTTGATCATTTAACAAGGTTACTAATAATTACCATAGTGTTTCTTCACAGTACTCAAGAAGTTATATGGGTTTGGAAGAAATCACTAACTAAAGTAGGATATCTATATTTGGTAGATAATTTGAAATCGAGTGGTTATAGTTCTCAAGATAAAATTATGAATGTTTTTGTTCTAAAAAGCTTGATAAGTATAGCCAATAATAAAAGTACTGAAACTTCAATATGGAAGTGGATATAGCTTCATAACAGAAGTTAATCAGTGAATGTTAACTCTAACCACCATTTATTCAATCATAGTAATATATTAGCCACCATTTTTGGTAGTTCCTGTAGTACTTATCATATACCAAATGCTAGGCTATATGCTGAAGATACAGGAAGAAATGTAATGTAGTCCCTTGATGAAGCAGCTCATAATATATTAAGGAGTTTGTAGGATTATGGGGAGTTTTACTGGTAATGAAATATAAAGTCAATGTCTTAAAAATATTAACAGTGCAGTACAATGGTGCTTAATTTTTGCTTTAATTCCCTATTTCATTTGAATTATTTCTACTGAAATATAAATCTTCAGTGCACTGCCATATAATAAAGTGTGCCTTGGAAATGTGTCTTTTTCTAGTCCACAGGAAGTAATTTTCTCACAGTACTGAGTTGTATTAGTTTTCCCCTCCTCAACCCTTTCCTTTCTTTACCTCTGACTGACGCTTTATGAGGGAATCCTTCTCTTCCAGCAAGCTTGTCAGTTCATGAAGCTTGAACTGAAAGTCATTACAGCTTCCTTCTCTTCTTGAAACATCTTTTTGGTACTGGTTTAATTGGGACTAAGGATTTAGAAAGAATTAAGTATTATTATAACCCTTATTGATAAAACATGTAACTAAATACCAGTATGGTTTAGTTACCACAGAGTCAGTACAGCTAATAATAAAATGAAAAGCAAAGTACCAATAGCTATAAACTTCTATAAAATTTTAAGAATTGAAATGCCAGTTAGGAAATTCTCATTTTTAAAGGTGCCTTTACTATTTGAGACTATTATCTAAGCAATAGTCTTGCAGTCCAATAATTTAAATAAAGCTAAGAAAACAGAGACTTCAGATTCCTTCATATACTAATTAAGACATTTGAATACTAATAATTTGTTGTGATTTTCAGTTCATAAGTTATTCCTCCTGCCTAACTTGTCTCAGTACTCATAGCATCCTTGTGAGACAAGCATTATTATAACCCTTATTAACAAAAGAGGTAAATGAATTTCAGAGGTTAAAGGGCACAGAATTACCAAGTAACAAATCTACAACTCTAAGACAGGTCTTCTGACTATAAATCTTGTCCATTTTTCTCTTCATCACATATGTACACATAGATGGCTGTTAGGTTAGCGTGCTACTAGTAATGCTCCAATGGAAGAGTAAACTGGTAGAAGAAATCTGATAGAACAATCAGCATGCTTTTTAACAAATTATATTTTGTTTCATTTTTATTTATTGGTAAAGATTTTAAAGTTATATTTGGAGAGAAAAATCTATGATCATTATAACCTGATATGTCAAATTTGTTGAATTAGTGTAGCATGGTCCTGAGTGTGTCTGGGTGGATCATGGAGGCAAGGCATTGGGTAGTATACATGGCCCTTCACCTGATCTTCTCTGGCATTTTCCCCCAGCTTTGCTCCTCTGCCACAATAAATAAAGCAGCTTTGCTCAGCCATGCCCTTTTGGCATGATATTCCTCCCTTGGAATCAGCTGACAATAGATTGAATATCCCCAAACTGTGAGCTAAATTAAACCTTTCCTCTTTTAAGTTGTATATGTTGAATATTGTGTCCAGAAATGCTGACTAATACAATCATTTTGCTCATTAAATCAGTTAAGTGTATTTAAGTACATTTAGGAATTAATAAATTAAGGGTTAGATTAAGTCAGTTCAACAAAGAGCTACAAAGTAAAGCACTACATACTTATCCTTGCAAATATCTTGATTTTGATACCAGTTACAGGTACATAAAGTTCAACACTATTTTATCCTTGTGCTTGACAAAGTCCTTGATATTTATCATATTTGAAAGTTCAGTAAGGACTTTTATAAATTCAACTGTGGCTTTGCTGAACAATCTTGAATTTTGCTTTTGCCTGCATAAGCATGCTTTAAGCAAGATCATAAAGGTTTCTCCACCTACCCACAAAGTAAATTTATAAAAATACAAAACAGTGAAATTAATGTCTTAACTTCATACCCTATAAGAGATTAAGCTAAGACAGATAGCAGTGATGTGTGTATTTAAAACAAAGTGTTCTGTGGCATATTCCTAAAACTCCAATTGATCTTTCCTTGTAGCTTTAAATTTGTAAATATCATTATTGGGTTAGAATGTTGGTGCTGAACTATGTATTTATACAATGTAGAATCAACATACCCTTAGCTTGCAGATCTCTCTGTCTTTCTCTAGTCTCAAGTTTTTTACCATCTCTGTGTAATGGTTGCCAATTTCATCCATTTTAACCTGCAACATTGGGCCTGTGCAAGTCTCAGAAACCTACAAAAGACAAATTAACTTTCTGTAATTGTACTGATGTGAAGAAAATACATATTACATTACAAGGTTTATTATTACATGAACACCACATGATTAAGTATAACATTAAAATAAGAGAAATTTTCAGAATTTGTTTTATAAAGTTCAAATATCAGTATAAGACCCATGTGTGAGGTCATCTGAAATCAATCTGTCCACTTATGCAAAATAAATATTTTATATATATATATTCATAAAAAGACCAATGATACCTATGGCAATATATATCTTAACTAATGCCAATGCTAGGATTGTAATGATAGAATTAAAGTGATAGCATATAGTTAAAACAAACTTTTAATACCTGTAATCTAAGATTTTTATTCTCTTGTTCTAAATTACATTTACAATACTCCAGTTCTTTTAATCTGTACTCCATATCTGATAGTGTATGTCGAAGAGAAAGATTATTTTCTTCTAATGCCTGGCATTTTGAGCCTGAGTCTTGAAGTCCTTGCTGTAAGGAAGACACAAATACTTAAGACAAATGCACTTTACTTTTTGCAGGGGACTGCTCTTTTAATTGACTGATTCAGTCAAATCAAGCGAATATTTTTCCATGCTCATTTTCTTACATTCTTAATGTTAGCTTTTACGGGGTTTTTTCCATTAAGTTTATTGGTACATTTTAGGTATACAATACAGTTACATTCATCATTGGGCTCTTGTACCTTTCCATGATGTATCTTGGTTTTTATTTTTCCCCATTCCGCGGTCCTCTCTTCACCTCCACCCCGACCCTTCCCTATTTACAAGACCTTTTTTCCATTTTTTCCTTTTCTCATATTCTTTTCCCTTCTTTCCTTTCCCTTTCCCCTCTGCTTAGCCTTTATGTTAAATCAGCCATATAACATATTAGCTTTGCCCTTAGTCTCACCTGACTATCTTTAGTGAAAAGGAATCAATACTAGCTGAATTATCAGTGTTCCAATTTAGTAGTCATATTCTTGCTACTATTTGACAATATTGTGGGCACCAAAAAGACCATGTGCCTGGTTATACATGCAACAATTTGCAACTAAGTAAGAATTCAGGATAGTCATGAGAGGGAAAATTAAGAAGGGGTAAGCCTTAGAGATTCATTACAATTTTCTAGGAATTATCTCTGCTTAGAAATCTGGAGAACTCTGTTAGAGTTCATACATTGATTTATTGTTCATGGTACATACACAAGCTAAGGCTCATAAATGCTTTTCTTTTTTTCTTTTTTCTTTTTTTTTGTTTTTTACCAAGGATCGAACTCAAGACCTTACGCTTGCGAGACAGGCATGGTGCCACTGAGCCAAATCCTCGGTCTGATAAATGCTTTTTAAATTAACACATTACTAGATTAAATGATATTGAACCTCGACTTTCAATGTTTATATAATTCTTGTCATCACCCAACAGCAGAAATACTTGTGAGTATGTATATTTTCTATTTAAAGTATGTAAGTTTATCTGAGAGGATATTCAGTTATCGGAAATACCTAAAGCCAGTCGTTTCTCATATGAACACATTGTTCCATCATATTTTAATTCCATATGAATTGAATCTTTAAACTGTAATGTGTAATTAACTGTGCATATAAAAGCTATTAATCTAGCTTATCATCAACAAAAGCATCAACTTACTTGCTGCTGGCGATTATTTGCTCGCACTGATGCCAAGAGTTCTTCATACCCTTTTATTTGAGATTCTTTGAATGCCAAGTCCTTCTCAAGTCTTATCTTGTCATTTTCCAGTGACTAAGAGCATAATTTATTGATTTATTCAGAATTATAGAAACTTGTCAATAGACATATAATACAAAGACTTGTTTACACTGAAAGATTTACAAAAGCACTTGTTCCATTTGTAGTTGCTTAATAAAACAGAATTCTTTAAAGTTAAGCAAAATATGGTTTAAAATGATTGAAATTTTAGAAACGTGTATTGAAAGGGACATTTTCGTGGACTGAGTAACTCTCAGTGCAATGAAACAGAACTTTCTGAAGCATTTTAGTGTTTTTCTTTAATCTACAAATACTCCTTAATTTCAGCAGATAGTGCATTTTCAAGTTGAAGTCTATATTCATCAGAGGCAAAACAAAAACAAAAACAAAAAATGCCCAAACCACTTGAAAGTCCTCAAGGTGTTAATTATATGGAAAGTATTCTCAATATATCTAGCTATCTAGCTGTTGAGACCAGAAACAATTAAAATAGAAATGACTAAGTTCTTAGAGAAAGAAGTTTTCAAGTTTGGTGACAAATTCAGAGTATGCTTTATTATACAGAAAAGGGGGAAGTTCCCATTTAATGAGTCAGATTATGCTAATTCTGCAGGCTACTCGCTGGCTTTAAGCATAAATTACCTTCATGTCAAACTAAATAATAAATGCACACTCAACATTCTTTTATTTACATATTGGACAATTTGTTTCTCTTCTTTCAATGCTAATTGACTATTTCAGGTAGGTAATTTAGCTATGTCTGTGTAAGCAAAATCTTGCTCTGTTGTATTAAATTTTAAAAAGGTATACTGAATATCTTCATTTCTTTTAGGAAGTTAAGAATTAGAAAGGATTTGGAAAAAAGTCAAAATAAATCTTACTGTCAAGTCATTTTGAAGATGTCCAAGCTCCTCCCTTATGTTACTGAATGTGGATAGTATTAGCCGGAGTGATTTATCAGACATATCCCTCATCTATAGGAAGAAAATAACTGGTGGTTTATTTTTACTAGCATTTGAAAATAGGCAATACAAGAGAAAGTAATCATACTTTTGTTCTTACCAGCAAACATATTTACAATTTTATTTGTGATATGACAATATTGATATTACATAAGGCATTTTGTTAATAATGTAGTTAAGCAGTGCAAGTAATATTCCTGGAGACATCATAACTAGGTATTTGGCACAAAGATTTATTATTTTTTCATGAGAAAGTATCATTTTTCTCACAAGGTAGAATTCTATCAGCAAAGTCTCTAATATAATTTAATTTTTTCTTTAAAAATTAGAATAGATGAGATAGTCAACCTTGAAGTAATAAAATGAATTTCCCTAAGTTTGCAGCCAAGAGTATGGATTTTGCCTAAGGTAAGGAGAATATAATACTAATTAAATTTAACTAAAGTACAGAACCATCTCTAATTTTAAAAAAGAGGGAGAGAAATATTGTATTCACATTTGCTTAAAGAAAACATTTTTTTAAAAAATAAATAAAATACTTTTTCAAGACAACTTCAGCTTATAGAAAGATGGAGGAGAAATATCTTCCTCAATCCTCTTAGTATAAAAAAGCCCTGTACATTACATGTAAAATGAATATTAAAAGTCACAGAATGGTGAAAAGAATGAGGACCAATTAGGACCTTTGGGACTGAGGAAAGACAATAATGAGGCCCTTGATTTGGAGAGGGAGGGGTGTTTTTTATGTCACAGACTAGTGTTGGGAAAGCCAAATACAACAGTTAACACACTCTTTCTAGAAAAATGACCATAAAAAGGGCAGCCTAGTAAGATAGAAAACTTTTAGACAATATCCACTGTACTCCAGTGAGATACCACAGGAAAAAAAATGGCAATTCTATTCTCAGTCAAATAATCAAAGGCTGAGAGATGAACCTGGAATTCCCCCATCATCAGAGTCTAAGGACCCATACCAATGCCATTCACTAGGTTAGTGTCAGGAAAGGTAGAGTGGGGAAATAGGTACTTCATCTTTACTGAGAAAAAATGAAACCCTAAGCACTGTAATGTCAGTTGATACCATGATACTTTGGTATCCATGATACCATGGGCTTTCACTCTATCATATCAAGAGAGTCTGATAGGGGAACCTAGACTTCGCTATAAGAGATAGTGCCTCCCCTTCTGATTTTTCAGTATCAAAGAAGGCCTGCTGAAAAAGAATATTTGCATAGTATCCAGGAAGGAAAGATGACAGAATACAAACTGGTAGCTCCAGCACCTGGAATTGAGACACCTGAAAAGCAACAACTTAGCAAAGAGGAAGAAAAGAAGTGCTCCATGAATCGGTAAAGAGCAGACAGGAAAGCTAGAAATCACAAAGAAACTGGAAAAACTGAAAACAATGCAGGGAAAGAAAAAAGAGGTTGACAATTCTAACTCCAGCTCCTGGGGATGGAAATCTATCTTCAGCAAATACAAGGTAAGCCCTGAAAGAGTTGGCAGCCCCAGTGATAAACAATGAACAAGCAGTGGTATATCCAAGAAAAGCTCATGGTCATTTTAAGCTGCAAATACAGTATGGGGTTTTACTTTATAAGTGACACTTTTCACAACGCAGGCTAACACTGGAGAAGAAATTCACTGCAATGCTTACCATATTTGGAATGATATAATCAGGGTCATTTTTTTTTTTAATCAGGGCTGTTTTGAGAAAGGGATTACTGTTTTAAGACTGAGATAGTTCAGAAATCACAAGTAACAGAATAACCACACTTCAGTCTCTGGGTTTACCCTACCACACTGACTGGGTTGGAGATGCCCATGAGAGACACTCATGGGGAATAGGATGTCTAGTCATAGATCACCAAAGGAGATTAAACAGCAGAGACTACAGTGGTCCCCTCCTCTGTGGTGAGAAGCCAGGGCAGCTATGTGTGGTATTCTGAGTGGAGTGAGTCTGAAAGTACTGGGATTAAGTCCAGTGGACTGCATGGTCCCCCTCAATGCTCACTTCCAGGACACAACTCAGTGATCTGTTCGATTTCCCCACCTGACAAAGTGATCAGTGATACACTGTGGATTGGACATTTCTCACATCCTGCAACATATGGAGAAAGGGACCTCTGGAACAAGTGGGGACACCTTATGAGCCCAAAGGCCACAAAGTTAGTGAGGGATGGTAGGGGCTTGGGGCACTGAAGGGCACAAAAACTAAAAGCCACTGGAGTGAATATAGCCCTGAAGCAGACAACACATCATTGATTGACCCCATCTAACAGGAAAGGCTAGGCAGGACTCAGTATTCACACAACAGAATGTGGGTATGGTAACACAATAGGGCTTAGGTGTGACTTACTGTCCCTCCCTTATAGCTGGTGGTTTCTAGTACCATTGGACCTGGAGGGCAACTCTTCCATGTGGAACAAATTTTGGACTCATTTTTCTTTTTCTCTATTTATTTGGGTTTTGTTGTTGTTGCTGTTGTTGTTGTTGTTGTTGAATTGCTGTGGTGTTTTTTGCTCTGTTTTATTTTTTCTTATTTTTCTTTTTATTTGTTTTTTCTATTACCTTTACCTAATTCCATCTACTTTCTTTTATTCCTTAATTGGATTTTAATCACATTTTTCTTTCCTCTTTCTTGTCATCTTCCTTTTCTTTCTTCTTCAAATTTTACTTATTTTTCCCCTTCCTTACCTATTCCATTTTTATTATTACTATTAAAACTTACTTTGATTTTTAGCTAGTTTATATTATCACTGATTTCTACTGTTAATGATGACATAGTTACTACTTTTAGACGATATTTACTAGATGTCAATATTTAGTATGTCTTTGTGTCTATATTAATATTGCAGAACTCTTCTATTATTAAGGGGGGTATAGTTGTAGTCTTTGATCTTCGTGGTGTGAATATCCAGTTTGTCCATGACTCTTATTATTGCTAATTTCTATTGTTAATGGTGGCATAGTTCTTGGTTGGAGTTGGTGTTTATTGTCTGCCAATATATGATTTGTCTGTGTGTTGACTACATTACTGTAGTTTTTTAACTCTTTTCTGAGTGTTGGTGGGATCAAGCCCACAGAAGAAGTTTGGACACTAAGAAAAAACTCTCAAATATTACACTGAGTAGGTTGAAGATGGGTATAAATATAACCACAAACAACATCATAGGAAGAAAGAACCTAACTAAAGAGATTGCCACAAAATTGACAGTTTTTCTATCCCAACTGATCTTCAACTTGCAGCACACAAAACAATATAAACAGGAAATGCAAGTAAGAAGATGCCTCCAAAACCCCTTAACTCCTCAAGAGTAGAAAGAAGTAGAGAAAATTATAGGCAAAGAACTCAAAAATCAAAAGGTCAAAATGTTTGGAGAAATCAAATAAGAAACATGTATGCAAATTCATAAGATGTTTAACAAGCTTCAAGAAGATTTAAATAAATGCAGAAATGAGTTAATAAAATGTTCAGTGAGCTTAAAATAGAAACTTACAATAAGTTGATTGAGTTAAACAAAATAATACAAGATATGAATGAACATTTTGCTAAATAATTAGAAATTATGAAAAGAAATCAAATAGAAATTCAGAATATAAAAAGTTCATTGGTCTACCACCTGCCTCACAAGCGCAAGGTACCGAGTTCGATCTCCAGTACCAAAAAAAAGTTCATTGGAAAGCATGGAGTAGCGGATATGGCCAATGTGAGGATACTGCATTAGAACTTGAAGACGAGGTTAATACAGTAGATCATGTACTGTGTGACATCTTAAAAAGCAATAAGACACCATGGAAGCTGGATTCAATAGCTGCTAGATGAGAAAAAGAAAAAAACAAACAACCTCTGAATTATAGGAATAAATGCAAAATTAGAAAATGACTCAAAAGGTACAAAAGTTTATTCACTGAAATAACAGCAGAAAAATTTTCAAATTAAGAGAAAGGATTCAATATTCAAGTATAACAGGCATATAGAACCCTAAATAGCCACAACCAGGAAAAGAACTCTCCATAACACAATAATAAAAATTCCATAAATTCAAAGAAGACAGAATATTAGAAGGTGTTAGAGAAAAAGAGCAAGTAATCTATAAATGCAAGCCTATTATAATAATAAGAAAATTCTGAGGACAAACTTTAAAGGCCAGAAGGGATTAGAACAAAGTTTTTTGAGCCCTAAAAGAAAGCAACTGTCAAAAGAACTTCTACATCCTGTAAAACTACATTTCAAAATTAATGGAGAAGTAAAGACCTTCCTTGACAAAGAGCACCTAAAGAAATACATGACTACTAAACCAATGTAACAGAAAATACAGGTATCCTAGAGAGAGACAGCAATGTCAGCAACCCCAAAGATCCTAAAGGAAAGTATACATCTAATGGGGAAAGTAGTTAAAGATAAAGGAAAAAATAAAGTGATCAACACTGGAAAAATAATGTAAGGACAAGATTTAGTAAATACCTTACAATAATAACTCTCAAAGTCACTGGTCTTAACTCTGCAATCAAAAGACAAAGGCTGGCAGATTGAATCAAAAAACAAAATACAACCATATGTTGCTTGCAAAAGGCACACCTCATCCAAAAAGAAGCACATAGACTAAAAATGAAAGCAACTTGAGCTTCCAAACAAATGTGCATAACTATCTTATTTTCAGACACAAAGAACTTTAAACCAAACTGATCAGAAGAGACAAAGATGGCCACCATATCCTGACAAAAGGAACCATTCAGATAGAGGTACCAATTATAAATCTATATGCACTGAATACTGGCACGTGCAACTTCACTAAACAAAAACTACTGGACATAAAGGTACTGATAGACACCAATACAATCATAATGAAGGATATTTATACCCCATTCTTAGAAATAGATGGGTCAACTAGACCGAAAAAAGATCAACAAAGAAGTATTAGAGTTCAGGCCGGGGATTTAGCTCAGTGGTTCTGCCGCCTGTTTCACAAGCGCAAGGTCCTGAGTTCCATCCCTGGTCCCAAAAAAAA